TCTGTGTCGTTTTATCTGTTGTGAAATACAGTTCGTATTTCTTTGTTCTCTTCTTTTTTTTTTTACTTGTGGATCTAAATTATTACTTTTTTGTATTGTATTTTTTGTTTTCATATTTAAGAATTAAGATAAAATGTTTCGTATATATAAGTATTAAGTCTGTTTTATAAAATACTATATTGCCTTCAACAAATCTTTAGACAAACTTACGTGGGAGCAGAAGTATTTGACGAGATAATGCAACATTGTGTAAATCAAATATTCCAAAAAGGACTCTCACTTACTGTAGATACTGTTAATAAGGATTTTCTAAATGATTATCTTATCTTAAATGATAAGGAAAACGTTGTGAAGATTTAGTGTGAGTTGAATGAAGGATTATATGCAAATTGTAGGTGACTGAAATGTGGCAAGTGAATATTTCTTTATTCAATTGACTGTATAAAACGGATGATATTATCTAACGCGTCTCAGAAGTTTTCCATTTAACTTGATGATATAATTCTTACTTGATGGCGGCGTTGATGTCACCGGAAAGCAAATATCCTCCTGGAAGGTAAAGTCACCTGCAGATTTTGGGAGTTGTGAAGGATGTCAATATATACTGTGATATGCCGTTCAGACTAGTAAGAAATTATGTAAACACAAGAGAGACAAATTCGATCATCCTGTAAACAGAATCCTGTATATTGATTATTGTTTTCAACCTCAAGATAACTGTATCAAAATAGCGCAATTTTTTTTTTTCCGTTCCTTAAGGAGAAAAAGATGCATGAGAACGGTGGTATATCAGATACAAAAGGAAGCACGTAGTATAGTATATCACCTTTGTTTTTACGGTATCTGGCAACAGCACGCACCGCCATACGAGTACGCACACAGTCGTTGTCACAGATGCCATCACCAGACAAAAACACACACAACCCTCAACACATAGAGAAAAGACAATTTTATTCGTCAGCCCACAGGAGACAACATGTGGGGAAAACTAAACCATTCTGCTTAGCCTCACTCTCCATTTACATAGTATACCTGTACTGTACTGAATCAATCGTAAACTTGCTTGAACATCTATCTATCTGTCTATCTTGAGGACTTGTTACTCTCAAAACATCTCATTCTATAATTACAGAACGTAAAGAATGGATTAAGTTTTCTCCTTAACTTAATCACGTTTGTTCTTATCAGTGAAACATCATGCCCTTTTCACCCAAACATCATTCCTCACCTTCCTCAGAACAAGGTTGAGTCTCCACCCTTCAAAACATTGCTTCGTGTTATGTTTGTCAGACTAATATCATGTCCTCTCCATCAATGTTATCATAGGAGGTATCTAGTCTCGATGTAATGCTTATCTCGATGTTGTGATTAACGGATGTCCTCGACTTGCTGGTGTTATGTTGCTCTCGGTCTCGTGATATGGTGTTGTTCTCGACCTAATTGCGTGATGAATATCTTCGGAGTAATGATGTGGTGTCGTCCTTGAACTATAACATGCAGTTCCTCATGATAAACACACACACACACACACACACACACACACACACACACACACACACACACACACATACATGTCTTTGGAGTACAGCACACACCTAAGTTTTTTCACTCGTACACAGTTACCATTCACGTCCACTCTTAGAAATATGTGGATGCCTGACCACTACACATATCCACACTTGATACAAACAAACACATGAACATACCACACACACATACACAAGAACGGATGTATATGCATAGCCGGACATACACGCTCAATAGTTATTTAAAATCTAGTTATCACAGTAAAAGAAATACTCTAACATTTTGATATAAAACATAATTAACTAGAATCATCTTTGCCGAAGGATCAATAAAATAGAATTAGTACTAAATAACTTCATTAGGTTTTAACCGAGTTGTAAAGATATACGAGTCAATAAATCAGTAAATAAAAACTGTCCACATGTCCTGTAATTTGTCGTCGCATTCGATCACCAGAAAGGATGTGGTTTACTCAGACCTCTGGTACAATACGAGACAAAGGTACGCCATAATTAGTCTGTGCACCTTAGGCTAAATTCTTTTACATCTACAGGTGGGGGAAGAACCCTCGGTGTGTTGCCTTATGAGGAGTGTTGAGGCTAGGGTCACTGAAATAGACTGTGTGTGTTAGGGTCTAAGTGAGGCGTCCTACTGGCGGTGTTTGAGGGAGGTGTAACAATAGGGCTCCTCTTCGCCTTACACCCCACTATCTGAGGCTTTGGTTACCCCTCTGTGCTAAATTGAGACCGTAGGTGTTGTGTCCCACGTTGTCATAGAAGACACGTGTAGGCACTCTCTTCCCTCACGATTCTCAGTAGTGTACAGCCTAACCAAACCATCATTATTCCCTAACATTCACGAGAATTTATTCCATAGTTTGAGTATTTCCTTGACTTTCACCAACATTCTCAGATACTTACGTCAGCCTTCCATGTCATTGTCAGTTTCACTCTTTGATGACGCTCACCGACACTCCCACTTAACTTGGTGATACACATCTCACTTGGCGAACCATTTGGCCCATCTTGTAGGCTGCCATCAGTGACACATAATGTAAAGCTCTTTTGTTTCTCGTCTTTTAAACGTGTCACTAAGACCTTGTTGACAGAGTTTATGATGGAGATATAAGTTTTCCTCTCCCCTTGTTGCTCACGGATCTCTAGGATGACTAAATACTGTGTCTTTTTTCTCTCTTTCCTCTCACTTCATTAATCTATAATAGCCTCATTTGTATTGTAACACTTCTACAACTTCACCTGTATAACACCTGTAACACTTCTACAACTTCACCTGTATAACACCTGTAACACTTCTACAACCTCACCTGTATAACACCTGTAACACTTCTACAACTTCACCTGTATAACACCTGTAACACTTCTACAACTTCACCTGTATAACACCTGTAACACTTCTACTTCACCTGTATAACACCTGTAACACTTCTACAACTTCACCTGTATAACACCTGTAACACTTCTACAACTTCACCTGTATAACACCTGTAACATTTCTACAACCTCACCTGTATAACACCTGTAACACTTCTACAACTTCACCTGTATAACACCTGTAACACTTCTACAACTTCACCTGTATAACACCTGTAACACTTCTACAACTTCACCTGTATAACACCTGTAACACTTCTACAACCTCACCTGTATAAAACCTATTAACGTAATCGTAAAGAAATTCCAAGATTTTTAATATTTGTCTCTTGATCTGTTTTATATACGACTCTTTTAGTACCTTTAATGTATTACAAACTGGTAAGTCATTGTTGATACCGGAAATGAATGGGTTAGTGTCCCAGCCATCAATTTCCTTTTGCAATTTTAAAATAAATATCAATTAGTGATTATGGTATGATATATTTAACCTTCTATGTCTCTGGTATGTGTTAGAAAAGGGTAAACATCTTAGAATTATCCAGATCATAATATTTTCTAAGGTCTCATAGTCCTGACTGCCCGTTAGCGACAGAGTGGATACGGGGATATTGTATACGAAGCCTTTGGTACACAAGGAGGCAGCATGACCAGTAGTGCTATCGACCACATTCACTTCCCCAAATTGTTAACTTAGGTACCCCCGGAACAGAAGGCGAGCACTGTATCCACTCATATAGATTATATATTAATTGATGTTAAATGATGACATAAGGTCTAAAGTGATAAAGAAGAAGAGTAATTAAATTGGAAATAGCGTACAACTAGTTATTTGTATATAATAATTAAAGTCTATACTCAAACCTTACTGCATACCCGAATAAGTTTAGGTTATTGTAGCATCGTGGGGTCCGTGTGTGTCAGGCGTTCGGGCATATATCGCGTGTTAGACTTTGGAATGAACGTGTAAGGTTAATTAAGTAGCATGTGTTAGAGGAGAACTTTTACATTAACCTTCCATCTTAATATTAATAACACACTGCACATGTAAGCAGCTTCTCCTCATAGTTGTCAGAATGTTAATAGACGATGACAAAAAAAAACTGAGGAATTATAGGAATTTATCTGTTTAGAAATAAAAGAATTAATACCACAAACATATAACTACTCTCAAGTCTTAGTCGTCCTATTAATAGAGAAACTTGACTTAGCGATTATTATATACATCTCTCATTACAAAGGAGTTATGGCTATAAACGTGTAATAACACTCGCTCTACGATCCTCGCTGTCTCACTCACCGCAAGACTTTATACTGTAACCTTTGTATCAATAAACATTGTCATTATAAGTGTTCATCACGCTCAGTCTTTTTGGCGTCATTCATTATTATGTGAGTATGTTGACAGTCAGACACAGTGTACTTTGTTTCTTTGTTATTGGTTTCACATGTACAGTACACTATAAGAGAAAAATAAACAAAAACATGCCTGTAAATGCGTTAAAACTGAGGAAAACAATGGCAGTCATAGTCCTAGCTGAGGATGGCTCAGTAAAAACAGTGTTTTTGTAAGACAAGAACACAGTTTCATTCTATTTGTAGTAACAACACAACACATTATATCATAGCATGATGGCAGACCCACACCGCGTTCTGTCCTTTTTGACCTCCAGATAATTTGCGTACCCTTGTCAGGGCCTGTTAACGAGGCATCTCTTAGCCTGAGACGATGATTTGAACTGATTGGTGCAATATTTTTCTCCTCATAATGTTTACACCAATAACCGTGTGCATAAAACATTAGATATATGGAGAAAATATATAATGACATAAGTATTTGAACAACCAAATCCCATTCACGGACAAAATAAGTCACAGAAAAACAAGAACACTGTATATTTCGATCGTAACGTACGTACGGTATCCCTCACTACTGAAGAGGACCGTGAGCTACGGTCGATATATACTTGTACAGAGCTCTTACTTTTTATGTGCCTTATTTTATCCTGCAGTGTTATCTCTTCTATATATATATATATATATGAGTATTTTATTACAGGTAGGATATATAAAACACATGGAGTAATATTCATATAAAATATACTTTTTTATGAAGTACAGATATATGAAGCTTGTTTGATGTTGTAACATACAAAGGCTGTATCGAAAAATATATAAAAAATCTTAAAACTATTGTTTCGAAATTGAAAGTTGGGTGATTATGTATAAAAATAATATTGAATAAAAATTTTAGAAGCACTTGCGGTGGACAATTCCGGGGCCGGACTCATCATATTCTTCCTTTGATACCCACATGGACTGAAAAGTAGACAGAGAGGCCAGGATGGAGCCACCGATCCAGACGGAGTACTTACGCTCGGGAGGAGCAATGATCTTGATCTTGATGGTAGTAGGAGCCAGATTAGTTATTTCCTTCTGCATGCGGTCAGCAATACCAGGGTACATGGTGGTACCTCCAGACATGACGGTGTTGGCGAACAGGTCCTTCCTGATGTCAATGTCGCACCTCATGATGGAGTTGTATACTGACTCATGAATGCCAACAGATTCCATACCCAGGAAGGAAGGCTGGAACAGAGCCTCAGGAGCACGGAAACGTTCATTACCAATGGTGATGACCTGACCGTCGGGAAGTTCATAAGACTTGTCCAGGGAAGAGGAGGCAGAGGCCACATTCATCTCACTCTCAAAATCAAGAGCGATATAGCAAAGCTTTTCCTTGATGTCACGAACAATTTCACGCTCAGCCGTGGTGGTGAAGGAATAACCACGCTCAGTCATGATCTTCATCAGGTACATAGTGAGATCACGACCAGCCAGGTCAAGACGAAGAATTGCGTGCGGTAGAGCATAACCTTCATACACGGGAACATTATGAGTGACGCCATCACCAGAGTCACACACTAGACCAGTAGTACGACCAGAGGCGTACAGAGACAGCACGGCCTGGATGGCCACGTACATGGCGGGCATAGCAAATGTTTCGAACATGATTTGTGTCATCTTCTCACGGTTGGCCTTGGGGTTAAGGGGAGCCTCCGTCAGTAGAGTTGCAGATTCTTCGGGTGCAACACGGAGCTCATTGTAGAAGGTGTGATGCCAGATCTTCTCCATGTCGTCCCAGTTGGTAATGATTCCGTGCTCGATGGGGTACTTGAGAGTGAGGATACCTCGCTTGGCTTGGGCCTCGTCACCGACGTAGGCGTCCTTCTGACCCATACCGACCATCACACCCTGGTGACGGGCGCGGCCAACGATGGAGGGGAATACAGCGCGGGGAGCGTCGTCGCCGGCGAAGCCAGCCTTGACCATGCCGGAGCCATTGTCGCACACCAAGGCACATTCCTCTTCGTCGCACATTGTTGCTTGAAGTAATAACCTGTAAAGATAGTATTTGTTAGATTTATGCTCCAACTTTCTAAGTATCACTTCCATTCACACAAGTGCATTTCACATGGTTTAATGCTTTACACTAAGAACTGTGGTCACCCCTGCTTAAGAACATTAACATACTGTATAACATTGAAAACTCATTTAATGTTCCAAGTTTAATTAATAAGGTGATTTTAATGATTTTCATACCTTTTTAATTTTCTACAACACAGTCAAGGAGCCCATAGTTTTCCTTCTATAGTTAAGGGATTTTCTTATCACACACAAAAATCTCAGTAAAACTCTTTGTATCGCAAATTAAAGATAAGAGAGAAGACTTACCAGTGCGAGGTCCTCCTCGAGTCGACTGTGTACTAGCTGCGTCAAGGGGGACGCTTTCCTTTTATACGCACCCTCGAGCTCGGAAGGGACAGGAATGTGCGTTTAGCCCAAACAAGGCCTCCCTACCATTGTCTGCATTCCGTGGCATTAGACACGTTACTGACGGAAAACTGGGTGGTGGAATCCTGGCACTTGTTCCAAAAATAAACTCATATGAACAAAAACATTACCGCTCTTCTGCTGTGGTTTACTCTCAGTATTATTTCGAAAACGTAAGCATTTTCCTTTCATCTCATATTAAAAGGTAATTTAATAATGAACTTCACAGATGAACCTCACTTTGCAAACATTGCGACAAAATTCATAATTTTTTTTTTAATTATATCCGTGCAGTTTTCTTCTCCCACTTGGAAAAGATGCAATATTACTGTTTAAATCTGTATCTTACAGTGAAAATGCACACCAAAGCTCATTTCCTTAAATTGCGTATTGTAACACCACCCAGACCCATTCCATCTTCCAACACCATCTGTCCCTCCACCGCCTTCCCAATTCTCAACACCACCTTCCAACACCACCTCTCCTTACACCACCTTCCATCACCACTTCCCCCTACACCACCTTCCATCACCACCTCCTCCTACACCACCTTCCCAATTCTCAACACCACCATACCACCACCAAATATTAAACACACCAAAGGTAACATTTTTTTTATAATAATAAGCCCTTCATCGTTATCTAAGATCATGTTAAGTTTCCAAATGTTCCTATATTTTCTTAAATAATGAAGAAATTTTGATGTAAGAATATTGTGGCAGCTCTGGTCGTAGTTGTCAATTCATTAATATAATTTCAATTATTTAAACAAATATACGAACATTTGGAAACTTAACATTATTACAAATTATTCTTCCTTTGGTGTGTTTAATAGTTATCTTGACAGTGATACAGCCGAAAATATATCCACCGACAACAATCCCCATTACATACAGCTTTACTTCACCACGTATTACCAGGTAAAACTGCGAGTACAAGAGCCAGGGTGAGGTCGATGCTTCTTTGGTTGACTGCATGTATACATAAAACAACAGCAGTCTCTAAAGCACAGTCTCCCGTTTGTCAACCTTTACTGGATTAACACTTGATGTTTATTGTAATTTGTACCACATTTTTTTTTTATTCAGATACACTAAAACCTCTTGTCAGTGGCTGTTGTTGTTTGTACTCACGCAAGATGTCATTTTTTACTGAAATAACAAAAAACACATAAAAGATTAATTTCTCAGCAACAGTTATCCTCTTTTTCTTATCGTTGAAATGTTGAGAGCTGTCTTTAGGTGGATCGAGAACAAGTGAACGAAGGCAAACAAGATCAAGAGAAGTAAAGGAGAACACCATAGTTATTATTTCTTAATTGTTTCGTCCTAAGGTTTTGAATATTAAGTCATTTGGGTCATATTTTCCCCTTCATATTTTAGTTATGTTGCCGAGAGTATTACTTGTTAATTAATTGGTGTGTAATATGAACTTTCTTTATAATTACACTATACCTCTTTTCCAACTGAGCTGCCAAGGGACGATACTCACTCATTCTTCCTGTGCACATAACGATACTCAATCATATGACCTGTGCACATAACGATACTTACTCATATGACCTGTGCACATAACGATACTCACTCATATGACCTGTGCACATAACGATACTCACTCATATGACCTGTGCACATGACGATACTCACTCATATAACCTGTGCACATAACGATACTCACTCATATGACCTGTGCACATGGCGATACTCACTCATACTGTCTGTGTACGTACTGAGAAACGCACGTCTCTTCCTGTGAATTTTCCCAGCAGGATTATCTAATACTAAAAGGTTCCACCCACCTGTGTAAAAAAAAAGATACCATCTGTATACTGTGCAGAGCGGTGTTCATTTCTTCCTATACAGTTACATAAGAGCTGAACCAAGGTAATGTAGAGCAACGACTGAGGGAGCGCCACGTGCCTCCAGACGCCCTGTACTGTATATCACTACCAGTTGGCACACTATTGGCCTATGACTCGTTTGGCACACTATTGATCTATGACTCGTTTGGCACACTATTGATCTATGACTCGCTTGGCACACTATTGATCTATGACTCGTTTGGCACATTATTGATCTATGACTCGTTTGGCACATTATTGATCTATGACTCGTTTGGCACATTATTGATCTATGACTCGTTTGGCACATTATTGACCTATGACTCGTTTTACAATAGTTCAATTAGGTCATGGGTCGGTTTTTAAATGCAAAAAAATAAATCTTACCTAAATAAATCGATCGTTTATGTACAATTTATGTGGTGTTGGAAGGTATGGGATGGTAGTGTTGGAAGGTATGAGATGGTAGTGTTGGAAGGTATGGGATGGTAGTGTTGGAAGGTATGGGATGGTGGTGCTGGAAGGTATGGGATGGTGGTGTTGGAAGGTATGGGATGGTAGTGTTGGAAGGTGGGATGGTGGTGTTGGAAGGTGGGATGGAAGTGTTGGGAGGTGAGAAAGTTGTTTAATTTAAGGTTCGCTGGAGGTTTTTAGTTTAACAAATTTATTGGCAGAGCTTGTAGTACAGTTTGCCTATTCTGAGTAATTCAGTCAGGTCTTGACACTGAGGGTGGTATCACTTCTCACTGCCACGCAGGACAAAGGTTCATACACAAAGAAATACATCATATTCATTAACAGCTATAAATGTATAGAGGTCAGATTCATATGGGTAATGTCACTGTTCACTGCCATGCAGGACAGAGGTTCGTACACAAAGAGATGCATCATATTCATTGACAGTACATATACATATATGTACACACACACACACACATATACATATATATACATATATACATACACATATACATGTACATATATATACACACACGCACACATACATATACGTCGGTCAGATTCATGTGGGTAATGTCACTTTTCACTGCCATACAGGACAGAGGTTCGTATACAAAGAATGCATCATATTCATTGACACTATATATAGGTCAGATTCATGTGGGTAATGCCACTGTTCACTGCCACGCAGGACAGAGGTTCGTACACAAAGAAGGAAATACATCATATTCATTAGCAGTATATATAGGTCAGTGGATCACATACATTGGAGTCATATTCTAATTGAAGACTAATTAGTGTGGGCTAGCAAATTTGGGATAAACAGCAAGAATGTCCTCAAGCACACCTGATTCAATGAAGTAATTACATAGTTCAAGATACAATAAGTCAGGTGGCCTGAAGTCTTTGACAGTGTCACATTCAATAATATAGTGTTCAAGTGTATGCTTTAAAGGTTTATCACAAAGTTTACATGCTGAGTGTTCCGGTATGGGTACAGCGTTACTAACTTGCCAGATGTGTCTGTATCCTAGCCTAATTCTGGCCACGACTACATCACATTGTCTGGTTCTGTCCTTATGCTGGCCATACCGGTACCTCTTGTCACAAAATTTGTCATATTTACTAATGCTACAACTGTCAGGTCTCTCTGCATTTCTCACTTCTTCTAGATCAGAGTTCATGATTCTGACTTGAATGTTTTTAATTACAGCATTGGACAGGCCAAGGTCACGGTCAACATTTTCTTTCTTACATGCCTCATTGGCCAGTCTATCAGCATGGTCATGATACCTGATTCCAACATGGGACGGAATCCACACAAATTCGATACGAAAGTTGTTCTCATTGGCAGTTATCACATTCCTTTTAATATCACATACAACTTTAGACATAGAGCCTGACGGGCTGTTCATTGATTTCAAAGCACTTTGAGAGTCACAGAATATCACCCCACCTCCATTTTCTTTGAGGTAGTCTGTGGCTAAGTAGATTCCAGTTAGTTCAGTTTGTGTTGTGCTGGCCCAGTTGTTCAGCCTTTATTTGTTTGACACTATCATCTCTTTTTCTTTATATATTACAATTGCACAGCCTGTTCTACCTGTGTTTGTCTACACAGAACCATCAGTAAAAGCATAACATTCACTTGATTTAATACTCTCTATGTGTCTGTTAATAGTTTCTAGTGTGACACATCTCACCACATCGGTGTTTAACATTTGCTTACTACCAACAGGAGTGTAATTAATAGGAATTGATTTATCCAACCAAAGAGGAATGGCATTAATAGGTTCGTCTGGGGTGATTGGGACATTCAGTTTCAAGAGATCTGCCACACTTTTATGAAGCCACGCCCCTGGAGGGACTCTTTGTGAGATAGCTGGAGATAAACGCCATATTTGAGTACATGGGTATAGAATTTTATTTATTCAACTTAATCTGTTTACAACCCAAATACTTTTCAAAATCTAATTCCCACCCAGTTTTCTTTATATAGCGTAATATCGAACCACAAGAGAATTTTTTTTTTAGCATTTTCCTTATTTAGTTAGAGACAGAGCCATGTTATTTCCGACGCAGTACCAAAGTAAGAGGGTGAGGTGCCAAGAGCCAAGAACCCAAGCGAAAACGGCTCCTCACCAAATGTGCCCAGTAATGTTGACTACGGTCCGGTGAGGCGTTGGCAGAGTGTAGCCCCACCCCCGGGTCCTTGGGTTAAGGATTTGGGAGCTCTTGCGGCTTCTGCGGTGGTTATTTCGAGCAGGCTTTATTGTGCGAAGGTGCCCGCTCGACCATTTACTAGAGCCGTTTCGATCGCCACAATGGACTCACCTTCCTGCCACACTCCTGTTCTTGCACATATAACTTATTTTTTTTTTTTTTGTACATGTGTTGTAGAGCATGTCGCCACCTCCCTTCTACAAAATAATACATAATCCTGTCTATCTATCAATTTATCTATCTATTATCTTTCTTCCCACTCCAACTTGTTACGTAAAGTGATTTAACGGTTAGAGAATCCCGATGAAAGGAGGAAATACTAATGATGAAAAAAGTGCAAGAAAAGTACAAAAAGCAACGGGAAAGGTTTGAAATAAAAGCAACATTCACACTTTCTCATATTTTCAACTTGCATTCAAATTATTTAGGTTGATCTTTAATTCTAACAACAGTTACTATCAGTTCAGTGTTCATCGTCGAAGCGTGTGTTCGTAGATATTTTCTTTCATATAGTGTATATGTCTTGTGACGAAGAAAAGTACCACGATGCAATTTACGTCCAAACACCACCACAAGCTCCTGACAGAAAGTTAGGTCGTGATCCATACTATAGTTGTGCGTTAATCTTAATTATTCTAGTCATTACCCCTGGACCTTCTCCAATAAAACAGCTGTACCAGTAAATGAAAAAAATCATATGTATATATAAACATTGGATAAAGCATTAGTTATTCTGTAAAGGAAAAATAAAATGGATCACGTCAAGGTCAGGCACCCCAGCTTATTCCACCTGAAGATTGACCATCTTAACTTTCACCTGACCTGACTTGGCCTAACCTCACTTAACGTAACGTAACCTAACACCCCAAGATTAGGGTACTTAATATTCAGGTGAAATATACTGGAGTGTCTGATCTTCACGTGATCAGAAAATACTATCTAACTGATTATTATTAATCACCTGGCTGTCTCATTAAATGATAATATCAGTACTCAAGCCTATTAGTTACTCTCAAACAACACTTAACTAAGGTCGTCACCATATAAGGCATCAGTGTGTAATTGTTTACACACATTCACCGAAAATGACGCGCCTCTTATCTTTAACATTTGGTTTATTTGCCAAGTTTGAACAAGGTGAATAAAAATTCAGTCACTGGCTGCTTTAAGATACACTTGAAGAAATTTCTCCGTCATCAGTCTGATTAGGGAAGACGAACTTTGTGCTGCTAAACGCAGGTAAATGTAATTACTTGCAATTTACTTCGATGCAAAAAATGAGACATAATGGCTCAGTTTTATCTTTAAGACTATGGTAATTTACCCTCTCTTATTCGTGAAGTGACAACTAAACGACAAAATTATATAGATACCTGCAGTTATTATGTCACAATGACATAATTGCGATTGTATATATATATATATATATATATATATATATATATATATATATATATATATATATATATATATATATATATATATATATATATATATATATATATATATATATATATATATATATATATATATATATATATATATATATATGCAAGTAAATCACTGTACGCGTGAGTATATGATTAAAGCAGTAATTCATCTTCAGGGGTGAGTACAGTCTGTACTCACCCCTGAAGATGTGAATTACACGAAAGCGCTTGGGCTTCGTGTTTTCTTCTTTCCTTGTGGTTATCAGCATATATATATATAAAATGTATGTACAATAGATGTACATTCTAAGTAAAGTAATGGCAGGTCCTGTGCTATACTGTATTATAGTCTATGGTTCAGTTGCCATATTTTATAATAATTCGATAAAATAGCTTGGCGGTGTACAAAAGATATTAGCTTCAGTTTCCTCGGCATATAGGGCATCTGTCAGTCCTCTGTCATGTTCTTGACCTTTTCAAACTGTTGCTATGGTAAATGTATCCAGTTTGTACTGGGACCTGTACCAATAACACTGCAGTATTGTTTCTGAAATTTGATATTTCGTATTGTCGTATTCATATAAATAATGAGTCTATTATACATAAATTAGTTGATCAAATATTCTTTAGATTAAAATAGATTTAATTATTTGATGTGAATTAAGTGTAGAAAATAACATCACGTCTCTCGTATACCTCTTGGGAAATGTAAAGGTAAATCATATAGACATGATATACCTGGGAATTATAGAGAAGGAAAGAAAAAGACTGATTCAAAAATTAAAAGCATATATTTTTTTCATTGTGATACAAAAATAATACTATACAATTAAAATATCTGTATTATTTAGAAACATTTGCGGTGAACGATGCCGGGGCCAGAATCATCGTACTCTTCTTTGGACACCCACATGGACTGGAAGGTGGACAGAGAGGCCAGGATGGAGCCACCGATCCAGACGGAGTACTTACGCTCGGGAGGAGCAATGATCTTGATCTTGATGCTGGAGGGAGCCAGGGCAGTGATTTCCTTCTGCATGCGGTCAGCAATACCAGGGTACATGGTGGTACCACCAGACATGACAATGTTGCTGAACAAATCCTTCCTGATATCAATGTCGCACCTCATGATGCCTTGGTAGACAGTTTCATGGAGACCTGAACACTCCATACCCAAAAGTGAAGGCTGGAATAGAGCTTCTGGTGCTCGGAAACGCTCGTTGCCGATTGTAATGATCTGACCGTCAGGAAGTTCATAAGATTTGTCTAAAGAAGATGAAGCAGCAGCAACGTTCATCTCATTCTCGAAGTCGAGGGCGATGTAGCAAAGCTTCTCCTTGATGTCACGGACGATCTCACGCTCTGCACTGGTAGTGAAGGAATATCCACGCTCAGTCATAATCTTCATGAGGTACATGGTAAGGTCACGACCGGCCAAATCAAGTCGAAGCATAGCATGTGGGAGAGCATAACCCTCGAACACCGGGACGTTGTGACTCACGCCATCACCAGAATCACTGACCATGCCAGTGGTGCGACCTGAAGCATAAAGAGACATGACGGCCTGGATGGCGACATACATGGCGGGCATACCAAAAGTTTCGAACATAATCTGCGTCATCTTTTCACGGTTGGCCTTTGGGTTGAGAGGAGCCTCAGTTAGTAATGTTGGCGATTCTTCAGGGGCAACACGGAGCTCATTGTAGAAGGTGTGATGCCAGATCTTCTCCATGTCGTCCCAGTTGGTGATGATGCCGTGTTCTACAGGATACTTTAAAGTGAGGATACCTCGCTTGCTCTGGGCCTCATCACCGACGTAGGCGTCCTTCTGACCCATACCGACCATCACACCCTGGTGACGGGCGCGGCCGACGATGGAGGGGAAGACAGACCGGGGAGCGTCATCACCGGCGAAGCCAGCCTTGACCATGCCGGAGCCATTGTCGCACACAATGGCGCAAGTGTCCTCATCGTCGCACATGATATAGCAGTTTTGAAAAATCTAAAAAGAAATTCATACCTATATATAGATATTTACATACATTATGTAAATAATGATTAATTTATTAATTTTTTTAATATAAGTATAAGAAACCCAATTCATGACAGGCTAAATTGCTACTTTTTGAAGTTTATAAAAATTTAATGTATTACCTGTGAAAAGTTCGTTTAATATAGCATATATCTCCCAATACATAATAGTGTAATTTTGAGATATTAACCAGTAAATCTTTACAGCTGACTATAATACAAGTGTCAGTATTCATCAAGTCTCCTAATAATTAACAGAACATTAACATCACGTATCACAGCACACCGTGTGAGACAAGACTCACCTGCTGGCGGGGCTGAGGCAGTGGACGACTAAGGTGCCACAGATACAAGCTGCCCTTTTATACGGATCCTCATGTCCGTCGTGTAGAAGAGGTGGGTTCGAGCCAAGTGTAGTCCTTCTTGGGCCTTCAGCATAAACTTCAATTTCTTAATTAAATGGATAGGTAACACTCTAATTGTATTCCGTGATTAGATCGTATCGAGGAGAATCGTAATCACTCTACGATGTCCTTACTATAGGTTACGATCCAGCATGCAATAATACACAAAAGAGGACTCGTTTCAGTTCCTTATAGTCATGACGATACTGGAGTTCAGCCAAGGAACTCGGTCGTGAGTTCGGCAACCTCAGTAACGCGGAGATACTAAGTGTCACCTTACAATTGACAAAAAAATCACATTGTATTTTTCTTCTTTCCAATGCTACCTAGATCATCAGAAAACGACATATTAACGTGGATATTAACACATACAATAGATAGTGGCTGTTTAAATATCGACGCCACTCACTGGTCTCCACACCCACGGGCACTTAGTAACAACAGGACAATTCCGTGTGAGTCTTTCTCTTGGCCACAACACCGAGGGTTCAGTGTGAGTTTGTAATGATATAGTTTCATAGAAGAACGTGTGTTGTATTCACTTACGTTAGTCTTGAATTCACATCAAAATGCAAGGTAAATATTTTTCTACTACAGGAATAAATGATAAATGAATAACAATTTTATTAAAATGGAACGTAAAGATGTTAAGGTGTAAAACAGCGTAAACTATATTGTCATTCATTGCATAAATATATAGTATACTTCTTGAAGAGTAAAAATTTGGGGGAACAAAATGTAATCTGTTGCATACTCCATTATAGTACACAGACTTGTACCCGTTCTTCTCTTCACACGTGGTAGCAAACTGAAAATTCTAGTGTTACCTCAATAAATCTTTCTTGGGAAAACTGCCAACGTTTATGTACGACATCCTGTGGTATAGCCAATATTTTCCCCAAACTTGAAAAAAAAAAAAATTCAGTGTACCAGGATCTGAGTGCAGTACTAACACCCACCAGAAGACTGACAAGATACAATGTTCTGCTAATTCATTGTTTGATGTAAAGTCTTGTAAATCATGTGTAAAACAAAACAAAGGTTATATACCGCACCTTTTACTAAGATATGATGTAACGGGTTAATCTCTGGGCCCGCTGTGAGGAGTGAAAACAAATGGGTGTTCACAGACTCAGGCTTCGCTAAATTAAACCCGCCCTCACGCTGCTTAGTGGCTGTGACAGGGACCATTATTAAGATGTCACCCAATGTGTGAGTTGTTTGTCCGCTCGTCTCATAAACACTTCATAGTATATGTTTTACGAGACTTTTTGTGAGGGAGAGATTATGCTCCATTAAGATACAACCTTATTTTATGATAGTAAAGCTCAGTTACAGTATGCGCGTATAAATTGCTGGAGGAAATCATTGAAAATTTATTAAATAAGTTTTTTTTTTGTCTAGACACATTCTTTAAAGATATTTTATATGTAATTAAACGTTCTATAAAACTAAGCTTATGTTAATATAAACATATCATAAAACTAAGCTTATGTTAATATAAACATTCCATAAAACTAAGCTAATGTATAAATAAACAATCTGTAAAATAGCTTATGTGTCTATAAACATCAGAAAAAATAAACACTGAACCTTGAATTTCATCACACTAACTCAGTCAGTCTCCCGCGCACCGATAATCTCTGGTCACACAAGATGACCATAAAAGTAGACAAACACTCGGGCGGTGAAATGGGCGGCTAAGAACGGAAGCTCCATGAACACAAGGTCGAGCGAGGTGCGGTGAGTTCTGGGAAGTCCTCGGTGACCAGGAGCTAGTAGAGTGATTCTGGCCACATAAGGTCCAGCTACTACCCTCCTCTTGGCTCCTGCTCAATACTCACCTGCCATTCGTCTGTGTCTTATCGAGAAATAACAATGTGCTTGGCAACTCCCTGTTAGATTAATAGTATAAATGATTTGTCTTTCGTTTCCAGGACAACCCATTACAGTATATTGTCCTTGAGTGTTTGGTTTATTATGTGTGTCTCTATTATAATAAATCGGTTGGGTTTGGTTAGCTCAAGGTGTTCCTGGTTCAATCTTCGGGTCGGATGTGAGATGGGTGTTCTTCATAGGTTATTCCGGTTGCCTTCTATACTAACTCTGGTGGTGGTGTCGTGACCATGGCGTCTAGATATAATCAGAAATGCAGCTAAACCCAAGTCATATACACACACAGTTATGAAGGTGGGTAGCATCTTAAGCATATATTAGTATAAAATAAGTTTAATCTGCTTCTATATCCTTCTCATATTCATTAACACTGGAGAGTTCGTGGCATAATCACAAATTCTATCAAAAGATGTTAATACTCAGTTTTCTATAAGTAAACATTGTCTTCATAATTAACTACAAAACCATTCTTCTTGTTTAAGTTCACTGAGGAAATATTGTTTTTCGGAATTATCCTATTTTGGTGTAAAACAATGGTAACAGTTAGGCAAGTCTCACGGCTAAGACAACATACATAATTATTAAACAAATTTCTAGAAGTGTTGGTGATAATTTTTCAACACAGGGAAGTATAGTGATGACAAACCCAAACGTGTGGAGACGTTTTTGCGTACTGGTGAAAGTTTAAAAGCCTAAAATAACTCTTACGTGGCGCGAACAAGCTGGGGAGTTGAAGAGTAAAGTGATATACTCTTTTTCCATAAGTCATCCATCACGTTAACTAATATGATACAGTTAACGTAGTAATTCATAAGTACATCTGTGTGGGCCATTATTACGCACAGTTCAGATATTGTAAACGACGTGGGTGTGAATGTCAGAGCTCATAAGGAAGGTCATAAACACGGGTGAAATTACATTACATCAAGTTTGATTTTTCTCTCCAAGTGAGCGAATATTTTGAGCGAACGAGTTTTATTATTGGCGTTTGTTTTTAAGAGCAAAAATTAAAAAGATTAACCCATAGAAACTTAATGTCCGGACGGAAGATGTGATTAGACACCCAAAACTCGGATGTAATATTACTTATCTTAGTAAACCTTAATAAGCAAATCAATTTGTGTTTATTGCACCAGGGATAAGAACTTTTTAATTAATTTGTTAATGTGGTGTATACATGTGAGAATATGTAAATGGAAAGAAATTTGTTTGTGATATTTATGTGTGACCTACTTCACACACACACACACACACACACACACACACACACACACACACACAAGTTGTCCTCCTTGGCATAATGGTATTTAGGTGACAGGATCTCGCAGAATGATACTCAGAATATAACACCAGAGCTTCACACGTGGTTTTCGACAGCCTTTATTAAAAGTTCTTATAATAACATTAGATTCAACGTAATGTCCCTGCACGTCCTTTTCTGTAATTAGTATCTACCTGAACATCAAGGCGTCGTATTGTACTATACAGGGGGGGGGGGAAAGGTTGATAGCTCCACCTCCTCACACGAGCCACAGGATATATTTACGTTGGCGGAGACCCCTGGTAAAGTTACACTGAGAATAGCCTGTAGGAGGAGGTCCCGGGGGCTGTGGTGTACTGGGCGGGAATACACACACACACACACACACACACACACACACACACACACACACACACACACACAAAGCTAACCACTCTCGTTTTCTGTGTTTACTGGGTGGCCTGAGCTGCCCGCTGGCCCCTTGACTATCTTTAACCCTCGGCCATCGTCGTCCACCTCACCTGCTTCAGGTGTATATTAGGAGAGGTCTTCAGAGAAACAAAGAAAACGTGAAGAAAAAAAATACATCGACGTGAGAGGTTTTCTTTAATTAGCCATTCATGTATCGAGCCATTTAAGGCAGGGATGTGTAATGTGGGCTTCTTCTGCAGTGACTATGGTCTTGAGAAAAGATATTTGGGGAGGTCAGCTAAACCTAGAGACGAAAATGAATGGAAGAATTAATAACCCGAACAGTAATAAAGTGATAAAGGTTTAAAGTTAGTTTTTCTCGACCTCCCGGTACTTCACATGTCCCGCCTCCCACCATCACAATGATGGATAAGACCAACTCATCTCAACTATCAGTCGTCTACTTGCTCTCCTTTTGTAATAATATCATAACAGTTAAATTTAAACAGGAAACTTGAACATTCTAGATAATTAACTCGTATGACATTAGTTCATTAGTAATCTTAGACCAGTATCATATAATACAGACGGTGCCTATTGATATGACTAGAAAATGTACAGAACGTAAAACATTCTTGATCTTGTTATATATATACGTAACAAATGAATCAACTAACTTCCTAATTGCTTTCCGAATACAAAATATATACATGTCATTCAGCTTTACTAGAAAAACAAACATGTTCTTGTAAACGTAGAGAAGTGAGGCAAAACGCAACGAAACACAAAACGGCGTAAAAAAAACACACACAGGGTAGGGAGTACTTGGCTGGCGTGTGGCCAGGAGTGTCGCGTGAGTCTTGTTTACATGTTTACCCTTGCTCTAGGTCCACGTGACGCTCTCAATGCCATGTAGCCACAGTCATCTAGCTGTCGCAAATATACAGATTTATACCACACAATGCGCATTCCTTGTAGTAAAGTCAGTACAGTATGATACAGCGTTTAGGATGCTTGATATGGGATGTAAATACTGTTGAGATATACATTTTAATAAGCAGTGTGTCAGATATGGTTACGTGCTAATACATAATCTTATTCTTTTCTGTAAATTATCAGTTCTCTGCAGTATATAGATAACATGTTGTAAGTATATATTTATGCTGTGCTATATAATTAGTCATATATTCCGTGGTCGTAGGTGGTAAAGCGCAGGGTGTTGAAATAGCTGGGGATAAATATTGGTATAGGAATTCTTGCTATTGTTCTTATCTTTTGTGTTTAGAAACATTAAACTAAATGGAACTAGATAATGGATATCGTTACCTATAAAATGCTTATATTTTGTCAATGGAATACTGATATAAAGTTCTTCAATCTCCTCCATTTGTCCAATAATAAACTGTTTTGATATACCATCTCTCATAACCCTTGAACCA